ATCGTCGTTGTCATTACCCCAGTTATTACTTTTATCGTTATTATTAATGCATACTTTACAAAGTAAAGAGGATAGTCTCTGTTACTACACCATGTACATACAATTTCTAGAAGACCATGAATTTATCAGATTAATTGCAGTCCATTGTTACCTTGTCTCTACTTACTTCTAATTGTTTACTAAACAAGTGAAGTTCGCAAACTTAACGTTCTCGTCGATATTTTTCCAGTCAATTGTTGAAATCACTTTCCCCTGCATTAACTTTGTCTTGAAGATTTGGTAGAGTGGTAGCCACGATCGGCAATACTATTTTACCGGTGGAATGGATAGTGGGGCCAATTCTGTTTGTAGCGACGCAATTGCATCGGAACATTGTCTTGATCTTTTGGCGGAATCTTTGGTTAATCAGGGCGTACACAAACGGGTTGACAGCAGAATTAAATAGGATCAGTATGGTAGTAATATAAAAAACAACATCACAGTAAGGAGAGTTGATAAAATGCAAGAAATAAAATGTCGAGTCGGTGAACCAACAGACTCCAAATATGAAGCTGACAGTTATTACCATCGCGGTGACCCGCTTCCGCAACTTGATCACAGCCTATGTGAGGAGATCGAAAACCTTAGTAAGGTACTTGTTATAAAGCGAGTAATAAATGTATAAATGCTTTCAACAGTAGAAAAATTTCGGGATTTGATGTACCTCGATATCCTGTTATTGATATGGAAGGGTGGTGGAAAATAGAATTGTGGCTTAGTAATGTCTCAAATCAAAGAATCGCACCCTTTTAGGACGGGCCATGGACCACAAAGTTGTGCGTTGAATTTGCAAGAACTTCTCACCTTCTGTCGATGTGAAAGTTGATTATCATCAGTTGGTGTGAACCACAATGTGCACACGATTCTCGAATAAAACGCAGTCATCAGTGTCATGGGAAGAACGGTCATAGTCACCAACCAGTTCATGCTATTGGCTATGCCCATCCACTCCTGAGGCCAGTCTTCCTCGCAGTCACCTAAGGTGTTCTTGAAGTTCAAGGCCAAGAAAGTTGGTACATTCAAGATAAATGCAAGAATCCAACAGAAAGGAATAATTACCTAGAGCAGAAAAGAAATAAAGAAAAAGGGCTTTGGCCTGTTTGTAACGACTAATGGTTCGACGATGATCGATTCCCAGCCTATTTTTTTCTTAGATTGAAGTCAAAACGTATGTAAATTATAGTACATTGTGGGCGTTTATCCTGGGAGTTATGTTTAATGAAAACTTTCTATAACAGGTGTTCGTATTTGATGCAAACGCACTCTAATCGGCTGATTCGCTCCGTATTATCATTTCCTTCGTGCTGATTAGTTGCTTTTTTATTACTCAGCTTGATTTTACAGAAATCAATCAACATCGATTTCTCCAGGCGGATCTGTTACCTTAAGTTTGGTATGGGTAAGCTTTCCCTTTTCATCATATGGATATATTACTGCATAATATCGCTCAATGGCGATAAAAACCAGGGTGAAGACAGACGAAGATGCTCCAACCCATGCAAAGTTTCCTCCAGTCAGTAGCCTGCATAGAACTGTCCCAGTCACTCCATTAGGATGGGTAAACATCAGACTGAAGATGTACTCTGGTGCAAGAAATATTGCAATCATAATGTCCGAAACAGCCAGGTTCACAAGAAGGAAATTGATTGGAATTCTAGCGGATGCAAAAATGAAGGTAAACACAAGAATGTAATTAAAAGATGACAGAGCAAGAATGAACAACAAATAATGATGACAACAACAACAACAACAACAACAACAAAATAAACAAAAATAATGATAGCAATAAATGTAGTAATAAAGATAATAATGATGATGATGATAATATTGATTAAAAGACAAAAAGAAGTGCACTGCTACATTTATTTTAAAGCAAATGGAGTAACCGCACCAATAATGCTCTTGAACACGATAGGAACGTTTAGGATATAGATTTAAAGCAAATTTTTTGTTTTTCCATTTCATCTAGTCTAAAAAACTCCGAATAGTACGTTCGTATGGAGGATTGATCTTGTGAATCATAAAGAAGCAAACAAACCCACAAATAAAACATTTTAAGATAAAATTTATTTTCTCCCAAAAGATGAATGAGCTGACTCTAACTGAAAAACATAGGAAAAGTATACACCAATAGTAGTTCATCACAGTTAATTTTATCGTGACTCTAAATCGAAAATGGATAGGGAATTTTTTATCTTTGAGACTGCTGTACTAATACTGTTGAACCGGAATCTAGGTGGTTGGCAATGATAAGACCCCGCTAAGTTACTGTTTACGCGAGATGTAGGGGATCATTAAATATTCCGATCGATAGAATGACAGAAAAGTCACAAAAGTACTGTAGGAAGAATATTTTACCTCATATCGCGATATTTCAGTATGATCGTACAAACAGTAGAGTTTCCCGTTATAACAACGATGACAAGAACGGAAAGGACTGTCGCACAAGTAATAGCTATTGTGTCTGGGACTGATCGCATGGACATATTTTATGTGGTCGATGGTCCACCTAGAAAAGAGAAAAAAAAATCACACCAAAGAAAATGCGTTAACATAAAGAAATGGATTGGGCCATTAACAACTATACTTGGTCCGTTAGGTTTTTTCGCATAAGGAAAAACTAACGAGGTAAGAAGCCGATAGCAAAGTAAGCTGTTTTTTTCAAATGCACTTTTTTGATCATAACGTATTTTCGTGGTTATTACACCATGTCTACCGCAGACGGGTAGATTCTCCGTAAATTACATGCAGATAACGGTAATAACCTTTCCTAAGATGAAAAACACGAACGTAAAAACTTCCATTTGAGAGGTGAAACAAAGAATTGGTTATTGAATATCTGTTTTCAATGGTTTTTACTCACCTGTCTTTACAGACTTGCGCTCTGTTTCAATTCCAAAGCAGTTAAAGATGTGCCAAGGTTATTTCGATCTACATTAGCGTGTGAAAACCATGATATCATACAAAAACTGACAGGCTAAAACTTTAGGAAACTCTCGTATGCATGTCAAGCCGGAAAACATCGAGGTAAGTATAATATTCTTTTGAATTGATGTTAAATTCAACTCATCAGTTTGTGCTATTGTAATTAAGACAAACAGACTTTTCAGCCAATAAAAATCAAGTGATTGCACCTGCCTTAGAGCCCTTTGTTTAATTTGTTATGCCTAAAAAGTTTTCACAAGCGTCTTAGTTTTAGTGGTGTGCTATAATTAGGCATAGTTCTAAACTACGGAGCGTATAATAATTCTTTAAAATATTTTTTCTGTGCTCAGCATTACGACGCTGAAATGGAAATAGTTTATTCAATTTATTATTTATTTCTATTCTATGATTGGTTAACCTTGAAAATGCAAATCCTCTGTAACTCAAGTTGTCCTAACAAAGGTCCAGGTTTGAGGATAAAACTTAAATTTGTCTTACCCCTTGTAGCTGGGAATTAGTCCGCACTAAAGCAGTGAGTGGTAATGCCACAGAGGGCTTGGGACGGAAGTAGGTTAGCCATTACTTAGCGCACACAAAATTGTAAAGCCCACGCTAACTCGACAGCTAAACAGGCTTAAATTGTTCAAATTTTACTAATCAGAATCGTCTGAACAACAACTGGGTGACGCTTCTCTGCTGAATAATCAGAATTGCTTGTGCAATCTTACCGCAAAATGATATGGCCACTTCGGCAATCCCCAAGCAAGTATTGTAGGCTTATATGGAAGGATTTCCCAATGTTTCTTTTTTTTAATTCGTGTGAAGAATTTTGAAATAATGATACCTGATGTCTGGGATGAAAATTTCGAGTGTCAAGTTATCAGCAAGAGAGGATTCTCTCTTGTTATTAGTCAAGCGATATATTATTTTGCCGATTACACTATTAGGAAAGACGAACGAACGATTGAGCTGGCGAATAATTTCTTTCGCTTTTCTAGATCTGTTACTCGTATAACGTGTGCTGCCAAAAGATCGATATAAACCATGCGTTGAATTTAATTTCAGTTTTTTATTCTTGGTTTTTGGGTTTTCTCCGGGATTAAAAACTTGCCAGTGTTCCTAGTTTTGGACATTGACGATGGAATGGTAAGAATGTGAACAAAAAAATGGATTCCTCAGGCTTACAATGTGGTGTGGTTAATAGTCGTGGCAATTATTCCGTTGACCGTGATGGTTGTGTCGTATACTAGAGTAGTGTACAGGCTTTGATTCAAATTTACGCCTGACAACAGCGAGAATTCGAATCAAAACCAGATCCCGCAAGACTCATATTAAGTCGTTGAGGCTTCCTTTGCGAGATAATAGTTTGTTGTATTTTGAGTACAAACTTAACAGATTGAGATGTTATCAATCTTTCATCTTTCTCTGAGAAAAGGGAGTGCAGAAGGTGCTGAAGCAAGCCACCTTGTCTGTCAGCGGTATCTTTGCGATGTGTTGGATTACAGGTCCCATCCAGTCTACATCGTGAGCCACTTCAGCGCCGAGAGCTGCTTAACTCTGCCGTCAACCCGTTTGTATATGGTCTAGTGAACCAGAGATTCAAAGAGAAGATCAAAATAATGTAAGGAGCAGCTTCGATACCTGATTGGCTGTACAAGACTAAAGCTGTCAAAAATGTCAAACCATCAAAGTTTACATTCTGCAAAAGTTTAAAAACTTGAATATTTCGGCAGGTCGAATTTAACACTTCTGCCTGAAGTTTTTTAGTCTCTAATACAGAATCTGAAAGTGAAATGTTCAGTGAAACACGGCAGAATTGTGGTTCATAAAAACACGCAAGTTTTTCACACGACAAGTAGAAAACAAACAGTTCAAGGCGAGTGTTTTATGAATAAACGACAGCCGAATTCACCGGAACATAAAGATCGCTCGGGATAACAGCGCCGTGACACTCGGCTGCAGTGACTGATGTGGCCTTCCATTCCACGCATCGGAAAGGACATCAGAGCAAGCTCTTATTTTTTCACTCGAAGGGCGGCCGCAGTAGTTCCTGAGGCTTGCTTCACTGCGATGACCGAAGATCGCCATGATGAGGAAACCGCGATGGACCTCAGCATGGTCGCAGTCGTTCTGACACCGGCATGATTAGTATGAATTTTAACAGTTATGCCAGTTTGGTTATATTTTTCATCATTCCTGTTTTGTTTTTGATCACGAAACTTTACTTACTATACGAGTGTTAGCTGTGTTTGATTTTTATCACCGCACATAAGCTTGCCATCCAACTAAGCGTGAAAACCTCTAAAACACTGACTGTACATGTCGTTTTCTTCTTGAGGATTTTCGTCTCTGCTCACGTTATAATAACGTAATTTACGGCGCCTGGCCTTTTAAAAACCTTTGTTTGGTTCTTCTGTTGCTACTTGCCGGCTCGCCTGTTCCGAAATTTCACTTCCAATTAACGAAAAAAAGCTAGAGAAAAGTTCCGGAAAAAATTAAACATAGTGCAATTTGGCAGATGGCGTGACAGCTTTAGCTCAGCTCTCTGCTCTATACTCTCATGGAGCGCGCTCTTTCAACCAATGACAGCACGCGTTATATCCGAACTTTATTATAACGTCCTATAAACATTACCACAATGTCAAAGGAGTAAAACATATTGGTCGCGGAAGATAATTATGTGTTCTTATCTCTGTTTTTAGTGTCGAAAACTGAGAGGGCTCATGATAAATTGCTTTCGTATTCGTTCCTCCAACTTCCTTCTATAAATTATAAATATAAATGATCGCCGGCCTGATCAAAGAAGTGGTTAAATTGGACAAAGCATCTCATGCT